AGGGCCTGCGGGGGGAGGTGCCTCGCCGCCGCGGCCCCCCGACGCCGGTTGCTGCCAAGGTCCTGAGCAGCCCCCGCAGCCGCTCTATCCCCCGCCCTCGTCTCCCACTTCCGAAGGTGTCCCCACCGAGGCCGGTGGGGACGCTGTCCGAGCGGGGGGCACCGCCCCCTCGTCTGCCCAGCAGCAGCATGAATGCGGCGACGCGGACAGTCAGGAGCCCCCCGAAAACCCCTGCGACTGCCACAGGGAGCCGCCTCCCGAAACCCCAGACATCAACCAGCTGCCGCCGTCCATCCTGCTCAAGGTGGGTCTGGGCGAGAGGCGCAGGGATGCTTGCTTTCCCCCGACGCTGGCCCCCGCCTCCGAGGTTTGCTCTCTCCTCCCCCTGAGCGCGGAGGAGGGGGGTTCTCTGACAGCCGGGGGACGTCCGAAGGAGAGACTAGGAGCCAGTGGGGCCTGTGCGTATGGCCTGTTTTTTGACGTAGAAAAAGTTGGAGTCTACTGAATGTCTTTTGATAGCTTGGGTTTCTGTTACCCAGAAATCAGAGTTCATTTACTATATTGATTCCCAACTCAGTGGTTTAGAAACTATTCGTAGGTTTTCTGTGAAATGTTTTTTATCAATTGAGCAATTTATACTTAGTGAGTAAAGGCTTTGCATATTAGTATTTGAAAGTCTTAAAACAGTACTTTCAGGTTTGATAGCTGCTAACTAATGTCAATAGAAGTTAACTTTTAATGAGCATTTACGGTGATGATCAGGCACTGAGCCAGAGCTTTGTAAACATATCTCATTTATTTCTCCAAGTAACGCTTCGAGATGAATATTGTTAATGTCTTTGTTTTATACAAGAAGAAACTGATTTTTCGGTGTTGTGAGCCGTGGCTTACAGTAGTGAGTTAGGCAGAAGTAGTCTTTGCTCCTGTGGCGTTAACAGTCTAGTGGGGCTTTAAAAGGTTGAATGACTTGCGCAAGGTCACACACTTAAAGGGCAGATCTGGGTCTTGAACTAGGGAATTTAGGCTGGCCTGACTTAAAAACCTTTCTGTTTATGCTATGCTGTATTGTCATTCTACATATTAACCTTTACATAAAAGCATACAGATTACCAGAAGGTAAGGATAGATGTATTTTTTTGTTAGGGTTGGGGGGGGGACGGTGAGTGGAGAAGAGATGTGTGTCCTGTGGGGACTTTGAACCACTTTCAACAAGTAAGTAAATTTTGCAGTTTTGTCAATTCTAGTGACAAATTTTAGTTACGTGATAGATTTTGTTTTAAGTTGTTATTAATATAAGTTCTTTTTCCCCTCATTTTCTCCCTCCTCTACCTCTTACTTTATGGAGCTTAATAAATATAAATCTTAAGACTGGCCATAAATGACCTTGGTAAGAATTTGAACTACTTTCATTATTAGTGAAGTAACTGTCATCAATTACAATTGTTAGTGCCACCAATATACGAAGGTACTTCAAAAAGTTTTTGGAAAAATAGAATGAAAAGATAATATGAATCTTTCCATGAACTTTTTGAGGCACCCTTGTACTTTCTTAGATTTTTTGCATATTTGTAATCCTGTGTATTTGGATCTGTTTTACTGTCATGTTGATGTTTTGTGAATAATACAGCAAAACAGTGGGATTACTATCTTTTTATTTGGCAAGGAAGACTGTTTAAAAACAAACCAAAACAAAAACTATGTACTTTCTACTTCCTACCTAAATCATTGTTTCATGAAGTAAAGATTCAACATTTTAATACCAAAAAACAAAACAAAACAAAAAACAAAAAAAAAGCAAAAAAAGGAAGAAAGACTTTTCCTATAATATAGAGAAACAACCATATAGAATAAAATTATTTTATCTACTACATTTTTCTTTTTCACATTTTTGTTGTGGATTGTTGAAAACTTGGTCTGAGGGACATCTTTTTGGAATTACCTATATGGACTTGCCCTGTTGTGTTGAAGTATTTGGACATGTTATGTAGATTTCCATTCTTTGTATTAGAAAAGTTCTAAAGATTCTCTGAGTCTCATGATCGCAATGGTATTCAGCATGAAGTGAATTGGACTGTCTGGGATGAATTGAAATAGAGATTTTTCAGTGTCTGCCAACCTAAGTAGAACTTTTGGGGACAGCGGCTCTGTGAATACATATCTTGTTCATTGCTCTGTCTCCTCCCATAAGGGTAGTTCCTGGCATATAGTAGCGCTCAGTAAATATTTATGAACAAATGAGTGATCAGGTGTTTAAAGTCTGGGCTGAGACTCAGGGTGAATATGCAGCACCACTAGGAGAAGTTTCTAAGGAATGTTCATATCTTGCCTTGAGTTACTGTTGTTTGAACCACAGTACAGCCATATGATGATGAAAGGGGTCTAGTAAGGACTGGAGGTGTTTGGCTTGGAGAAGAGAAAACTTATGGAGCTATGACTCCCACCCCAGTATTAGAAGGGTAGCTGCATAGATAGGCACAAATCCGTCACCCCATCCACCATTGGAAATCATTCTTAGAAAGTATGCCTTGCTCCCCTGATAATGAATCAATAGCCTTTATAATTGTTACTTCTTCGTCTTTTGTACTAGTAAGTCACTGTAGTTGTCGAAAAGGGGCAGGGGGAGAGTTTTGGAGAGAAATGTGAGGAAACAGGATTTAAAGCATGTTTTGGAGGAAAGCTACCATACTTGCCAAGTTGTTTCCAGGTATGGCAAAAGAGAAAAACTAAACTATGCTTCACAGGCCAATTTTGGTTCCATATCAACAAGGCTATTTCTCTTTTATTTTAGTTTTATTTAATTAATAAAAAAATTTTTTTGGTGGCTGTCCGGTACAGGTATCCAAACCCTTGTCCTTGGTGTTGTAAGGCTGTGCTCTAACCAACTGAGAAACTGGCCAGCCACCTATTTTGCTTTTTTATAAGTAATAAATATTATTTGCTTTAAAACATTCAAATAATGAAGTAAAGCCAAAATTTGCCTTGTTTCACCCCCATCCTCTCATCTAGTTTCCTCTCCAGACATAACTAACCACTATTACCAGTTTAGATTGGTTTTCTAGACCTGCCCTGTTGAATACATTAGCCACTAGCCACATGTATTTATACTTAAAGTAATTACAATTAAATACAATTTAAAATTGAGTTTCTTGCCATCATAGCCACATTTAAGAAGTCTGTACTCAGAAATCTATACGTCTATAGTGGCTACCACACTGGACTGTGCAGACCTAGAACATTTTCATCATTGCAGAGTGCTATGTAAATCTTCATAACTTTTTTCATAAATAGCATCAAAATGTATATGTTCTACAATTTTTTGTTAATGTTTGAAGGTCTTTCTGTGTTAGTGAGTGTGCAAGTTTCCTTCATTCTTTTTAACTGCTGGTAAGTAATATGCCATGTTGTATTTCTCTATTAATGGATATTTCCAATTTTTTTTCCTACCACAAACAGTGCTCATAGATCTTTTCAATGCACATGTGGTCATATTTTTCTAAGGTAGATTTCAAGTCCCTTATAACAATTATTTATAAAATTTATAACAATTTCTAGAAGTAGAAAGAGTTCTTTTTGAAATAGTGAGCTGTCGGGCCTCCCTGAGCCAGAGGCTGACAAAACCGAGCGGGAAGAGACCCCGGTCCAGCCGGGGGTCCCTTGTGGGGCTGAGCGGGATGATGAGTGTCGCTGGCACGGCCCTTTCCCCCCAGGACCTTCCTCCCCGGGGGCCGAGAAAGAACACCACCGAGCCAGGAGAGTGGTCAAAGCCGGAACTCCGTTTATT